GGAACTTGATCACAATTTTTTTATTTTTTATGTGGTTAGGTGTTGCAAAAAACGTTATAGTATTGATCGCACATGGTAGATTTGGTTTTTTAACTATTTGCTCAGAATAGGTACCTTGGTCTTGTGAACGATGCGTTCAAAAGCAAATATAACGACAATTTGAGAACTATTTGTTTTATAATTAATGTCAATAAATAATTGGTGTTTATGATTTTAATTACGTATACCTACGTAGTCAACAACACACGAATCTATATACTTTTGTTCGAATATCGCCTCCAAAGCAGCGGGACAAAATCTGTCAATTTGTTGCTTTATTTGTTACTTAGTAGTATAAAGGGTTTTTCAACAAGAACTTTGTTTTGTAAATCAAAATAAAACAATAAATTTAGATTAGAACGATTCAAATTTTTATTGTATTAAAAAAGTAAGGTTTGGCAATTAATTATAAATGAAAAATGATATCTAATAAAAGTCCACCAGCACCACAGTTACAGATGTTGATTCTTTCATCAAAGTTTTTAATCATTTTTTACATATTTTGGTCTATTATTTATTTGGTCTATTTCGTTAATCACTTCACGTATTTTAAGTTTTAAGGCTGCAGTCGATTCGAATGACTCCGTATAGACTCTGTCTTTACTATAACGTGAAATCATGCGATCGGGAAATTTGGTTTCTTTGGAAATTCATTGTTTCTTTGGCTGTGTGAATACCAAAAAAAGTATCGAGTACAAAAAAAGTATGGGTATCGAAAGGAAATGCGACACTAAAAAGTCGATACTTTTTAGGAAAAGTTTTTAATAGGTTAAAAAGTCGATATTTTTTCCCTACTCGTACCCACCAAATATACCGTTCTTACATAATACACATTTTCTGTCACCTTTGAACTGAGGCGATTAATAATGCGTGATTTCTTCAAATATTTTCTGTGCTTGGATAGATACTGCAGGAAAAGGAACTCGCTAAGTAGACGTAAAGGAAATAGAACATTTACTGTAACAAATTATCACCAACAATTGCGTATATTAATTTTAATTTATGTATTGAAAATGAAACTATATCATTACGTCCATTCTTGACTTTATGCTCCGTTATCTAGAAACTAGGTTATTAAAAAAATCAGTTGTACTATAGGTACAATACTTAGAAGGTAAGTACTAAAGTACTAACACTTTTGTTGATCAAGGTAATAATATATGTAACCAGAACAATTATATCCTATACAAATATAGCTTGTATATTAACAAAAAATGGTCCCACTTCACGCCATCCACTAGGACAACTGGTAGGGACTAGTGGAATAGGCCGTTTTCTAGATAATTAAACATTTTATATTAAGTAACTTTGATTAATAAGATCACAACAAAAATAATGAATGCATTATATTGAAAAGTTTTATCTACAATGTAATAATAAAAGAATGAGAATCTAACTACGAATTTTTTACTAAAAGTATTCAAATGAGTGCCGACTCCTTAAAAAGGTGATTTGCTCGATTTTCGACTTTGATCGTTTGACACGTTTGTCGTGTGACCAAACAAAACGAGTAGATTTGTAGGCAACAGATCATCGACATCATATTTTTGTCGTTTAGCGTAATATATGGACAGATCAGACAAAATAGAGGAAATGTAGGAATGTATCAAGGTCGCATTTTTTGTGTCGATCTTCAAAAAATCGAGTTAATCTGTAGGCAACTTAGCAAACCTGTGCTCTTGCCATAGTTGGTAGAGACAGCAACACAATTATCAAATACCTTATGCTGGCACACTGCCACTGGTCGAAATTGAGACCTTCCCTTACATAGGAATTTAAAAAATGAATAATTATTGGTTTTAAAAAAATGTTTTGGAAAAACGGGCCGTGGGAAGCCGTTTTTACGCGGTACGTCGACAGTAAACAGTCTGACAGATTCTTTTCATAATATCTCCACAGCCAACTTAATGTATAATTATTTTCAAATGCCTTCTGGCGATAAAAATTTATGTCTAGTGTTTAGTACATAGACGAAGAAATAATGTTAGCCTAAACACACACGTAAGTGTACCTAAATTACGAGTACTTATTGTTATTTATTTTAGACTTTCGCCTCTCCGAGACGGGTAAACAGATTAATTTAAAATTTTTAAATTGGAGAGGCAGAATTTCCCGGCAAGGCCCAAGTTTCAGTAAGAAATTTCGAAGTAAGCTCAAAGTTATTTTAATTGCTTCTTAAGCGTGGGCAAAGATCGTTTTTTTATAAAATTATTATTATTTATTTATTATTATTTATAACGTTTTACAATTAATAATAACAATAAATAATTTAATCCAGGCCATATAAGATAAAGGTGTTAGTTATAAAAGAAAAACTTAAGACTATGTTAGTACAATAACAATTAATTTGGAAATATCGGTATTGATAATTATGATAATTAAAATACGAAAATTTAACTGAAATAAAAAAATAAAAAGTAAAAAAATTGTAGTAAACTTACCCTTAAATTATAAAAGCTATTGTTTTGTAATCTGAGTCTCTACACAGCATTTTAAGATTTTTTGTTTTTAACCGACTTCAAAAAAAGGAGGAGGTTCTCAATTCGACTGTATGCTTTTTTTGTATATATGTTACGCGATAACTCCGGTATTTGAGAACTGATTTTGATGACTCTTTTTTTGTTGGAAAGAGGGTACGTCGATAGTGGTCCCATTTAATTTTGAAGAAAACCAATCAGTGGCTGTTCACGCATGAAGATTCATTTTTATAAATAGCGCCTAAATTTTATTATAAGGAGCAATTATTTTAATGGTTGATTTTGCTATTCTCCAATTCGAGGCGTTTTTCTCTCTCAATATACTTTGAGTAGTGAGAACCGATTTTTATTATCTCCTGTGTCAAGTTCCGTATCGTGGCGAACTAGGGGATGAAGCCGGGTTTGCGCACTTTCCGGTAACCGATTTCAATAAAACTTGGCAAATATTCTACATACTTTTGAGGTCGGTTTTTTTAGTACTCTGTACTGAGATTATATATCAAGTGAGCCGTTTTGTAAGCAGTAGTGCACCTTACCTATTTCTGCCGCCAAACAGTAAAGTTAGCATTACTGTATTTCGGTTTTGAAGGGTTAAGGGTGCTGGTGAAATTACAGGCACATGGGACTTGTCAACTTATGTCTCAGGGTGACGGCGCAGTGGCAGTGCCCCTCAGATCTTTGCGATTTGAAGCTTTGAATGGCCCTGCAACGGTTATGGCCAGGTGTGTAGCTTACCATCAGGCGCACGACTTGTTCGTCCCGTCACTTGATATTATAAAAAAAAGTGACGGAATTGATTGAACAGTTTGAACTGCCTCTGAACGGTTACCATGTCAGACTGCCATGCAGAGGTCCTGGGTTCGATTCCCAGGCCGGGAGAAATATGGTGAGTTTGGGTGTAATTTTGTTGTTGCCTATGTGTATGTCCATGGCACCCGCGACATTATAAAAAAAATAAAGTGTCGTATTGATTGTACAGTCAATACGAGGTGGACAAAATACAAGTAGGTTAGCTTGTCAAGTTTGTTTAGGTAGTCGAAGTCAAAGTTCGTTGTATAAATTTCAGCCTGTGTACCTTAGAAATTTACAAAAGGTTTTGAATATATGAAAGTTGTTTGGTTTCATTAATTGCCCTTAAAAAAAGTTAGTTAAAAAATTTGGACCTTCAAGATGTGCACACATCCCTGGTGTCAGTCATGGGTCCTAGATACATAATACATATAACATATAGTTTTTATTATACTACTGTACAAGTTTGTCAATAAATGAACAGGTTTTCTATTGTCTTATTAATCATAATCCACCGTGAACAATCAAAACCAGTTATTGTGTAGCAAAAAAAATTTCAAAGTATGAGACTTTTTATTTTGTGACAAAGCAGAGACTGCTGCCTGCAGTCATTGATATTTATTAAATAAAAATTTAATAAATTAATAAGTAAACTTTACAAAATTTACAAGAATGTAATATCATTTAGAACCACTCGACAAGCCTGTATTAGTAGTAAATTAAAACAAATAAATGACAAAATGACAAAATGACAAAATGACAAACGACATTTTTTTTACTTTCAAATCAGATACAAAATAAAAAAGGAATAATCGGTCAGTCACTTGAAAACAATCGTTGCATTATTTTGAAGTTTTTACTACGCCGCCATTGACCTACCAACAATAAATGTACGCCGCTAATGCATGCTCCGGTGTGTGTATGTAGGATTCACATAATTATACATATTATTGCCCTTTAGCTCCAGGTGACCCATAAAACTGCACGATATCATAGGCTGTCGGTGTAAGATAAAAGATCAGCAAATGGGCATCAGGGTCTGTCTGTGTATAATTAACTATTAAGTAATGTGTGGTATAATTATAGCTTTACTGTTCCCAACCCATTTGGATAACATGGCGTCTGCATCATTGGATTCATCATTGGATGACAACATCTGCATCATTGGATTTATATCTCTTAAATGTGACTATTGAGTATCAACAATGTACAAGTAGGTATATGATTAGATGAATGTAATTGTACCTATACATGTTCCACAAAACCTTTGAGATCATAAATAGATTATTTTTTTATTCAAAACAATTTATCTTTTTTGTTAAGTAGGTTCATCATAAAGCTAATAAGTAATAAGTTTGTGCTTCGTTTCTTGCACACACTTTACTTGGTTAAATGTTAGTTTAGGCTTCGTTTTGAGAAAAAATCGAACCTATGTCCATAAACTCTTGCATAATGTTTATCAAAAAATTACATGGAAAATGCCCAATACATCAACTCAACTGAGCAAGTATCCTGTATACAACAAAAAAACTATGAATTTTAAATATCTGTTTAACAAGTCAATTTTATTTTTTATATGAAGATGTAATAAAGATGTAGGGTAAAAAACTTTAAACGACCACGTGTTAGTGCGACGATTCTCAATAAATAAGTCGCACGAACGTCCTCCATCCACAGTAGGTGCTGAGCTCTTGGTGCGACCCAATCGAAATTCGAAAACTTATTAATTTTATTGTATAAAAAAAATTGAGAGCGAAGCACAATGCTGCCAGTACTTAGTTTTGTGAGTCTCGTCTTTGTCTGCAACATCAATGCTGGAAATTTGCGTAAGTTGTATATCTGTTTAAACTAGATAACAACCGTACAGCTGCTTAAGAGGTCAATGGGAATAAAAAACTATTATAAGTGTATATTAACACTTCAGCACTTTGTGAGTTTTGTATTTGATCGTTACTAAGATTCTAGAAGGTCTTTTATACAAGGGTTAAAGAACCAGAAATCTAAATCAAAACATTCACAAAAATTAAATTTGGGGAACTTCACAAATTGTATGTACAAAATGATTATTATGATAATAACCGTTGATCATTATGGGGTCAAACGTTAAAGAATTGAAAAGGTAATTAAGTTAATAATATATTATAATAGCTACAACCAACGCCACCATACTTAATTACAAAATGCTGATGACCCGACAGATAATAAATATAAAAAAATAGAAACGTTTAAAATCCTCTTTTACTAAAATTATTTTAATCACAATATAAATATATTGATTATTATTATTAAGGAGATGAAATCATCTCCTTGTAATAGGTAGGTAATTTGTAAAAAATTTAATTAATAATTTGTAAAATTATTATTTTAAATCAATACGATTATGTTTGCCTATCGATTAAAAGTACGATTTATGTGCTATAAGAATACGTTTTAGAGTTTATAAAGTAATAAACTTTTCCAAATACGGTTACGATGTTATAAATAGTGCCTAAAGTCATTAACACTCGATACAAAGATTTTCCAAAGTACTTAATTGACATGGTTGCCTGGCACTATTGTCTGGTGCAAGTCTATATCTTAATGGTCCTTTACTTAGGACAATATAATTATGAAGACGTCTATTAAACAATTATTGTCATATCGAGTTCCTAGGTTTTTTATTATTAATTTATGTATAATAATTATTTATTAGATTGTTACACATAGGAAATGAAACTATTTTTCCGGATATAAATCGCGTAAATCGCAATATAGCGGGACCTGTAAAGGCGGGCCGTTTGTTTGAAAAAACTTAATATACGCGATTTAAATCCGGAATTATTGTCATATCTCTACTCTTCCAACATCATTTCAGTAACAGGTTAAGATCACGGTGAAAAGCACAGGTATACTAAGCGTGGCTGTAAATCGCCATTAAAACTAGGAGAAAAAATAATGCGAATTTATAAGGTGTTTTTATTTCTATAAATTTTAATAATTATTTATAGATAACATTGTTAATTTATTTTTTTATATTTTATTTTAATTTAAAATTTTTTTTACTATAAAAATTTTCCTTATTATTATATATTGCATTTACATTTTTTTAGTAATTATTGTGCTTGTTGTAACTATGGATGCATTCCTGAAACAAAATTTTTATTGTTATTAAAATACCTACCCCGTTTTAGAATAAGCTCTTTTCATACAAGGCTCTTAGTTTCCACAAAACAGTTACACCGTCTGGAATAATTATTATGGACTTAGCATATAATTATAAATCTGAATAATTATGGTACTCGACACAAATAAGCCCTAGTCAACACAAATAAGGCGTTCTTTGCAGGAATTGGGATTTTCCAGGCTGTGTTAATAAAATTATTGTGATTTACAGTGTTCGTTTAGTTTTCATTTAATCAATTAATATATACTTATCGTTCGTTAACATTTGAATTAAGTAGTCGGTATGTTTGAATTTTATTGTTTTAACTAATTGACTTGATCAAAGTGCGACACAAATTATTTAACCAAACCAGTCACATTGTCTGTTGATAGTGTTTTAGTAAGTGTAATTATCATTTTAATTTTTAATGATTAAATATCAATTATTACTTCCTTTTAGTTTGTTCGGTCAGACATCTATTGTTTATGCGCACTTTCCTTAATAATAATAATATAACGTACACAATCATAGCCACGTACTAGGGAAACCCTGCATCGCGGGTGCCATGGATGTGGTTTACCTATGTACACATAGGTAAACCACAAATAACACCCAAACGAACGAGAGAAATATATGAAGGCCAAACAAATATTTCTCCCGGCCCAGGAATCGAACCCGGGACTTCTGCGTGGCAGTCCAGCACGGTAATCGTTCAGCCACAGAGGCAGTTAAAGCAGCCTTTTTTTATTACCCGAGAGAACCTGCTTACAGATTCACCGGCCCTGCGGGGGCAGAACCGGGGTAATGTGGAACTGGGCTGAACCTTGAAGGGGAGCAGCGATCGATTTTCATAAAATATTTTTTAGAATTTCATCACTATTTTATTAAAAATGCGATAAGTAAGTTCTGGAAGTACGAAACTCGGAAAATCTGTCACCCGCGTCCGGTCATGGACAGTACTTAGTACAGCACACAAAAATGTCACTATATATCTTTGAACAAAGATTCGATATAAAATGTTCAATGTAAATCATTAATTTTGTCAGTGCGTTGTTGATACCTCTCTGTGGAGATGCTTCTCTCTAGGCGGCAACTAAACAGAAGGCATTGTAAATCGCACTATAAACTTCGTAGTTGGTTTTTTAAGATCCATATAGCGAAACAGGGTACCCCGTGCTTATCCTATGCTTATATTATTGCTTGAAGATGGTCTGTTAACAATATAATAATAACAATAATAATAAGAGTGTACAATATAAATAATAATAATAACATCTAAAATAGTAATGATTAGGTCATAGGAGAGGCGAGATTCTAAAATAGATATCCAAAATAATAATCAATCATTTATTTTTTACATAAAAATATTTATTACAAAATAATAACTTACAGCTATGCTACAACCATAAATTTAATTTAACTTTTTTTATAATATAAAGTGACGGGACGAACAAGTCGTAAGTCGTAAATAGTAAATTACACGCCTGTCCATAACAGTTGCTGTGCCATTCAGAGCTTTAAATCGCAAAGATCTAAGACATAAGCTGAGACATTAGTTGACAAGTCCCATGTGCCTGTAATTTCACCAGCATTTAACGCCACACAAGAGAAATGAAACTGTACTATCACTACTTAATTTGATCAGTAGTAATCTTTGCTATTAGCCGCTTAGAGTACATTAATTTATTATGATTCTAATACACATACTGTTCTGTGTTGTCATTGTAATTTTTAATATGCATCAAAGAGATTTCATTTATTCATTTAATTACACTTTTATACATACATGTATGTATACCACCCGGAAAAGATTACCCTCCTTCTGGTGCAGTTAGTGTCTTAACTAAAGTATTTGCATTTTGCAAAGCATTTTGGTAACTTAAGGGATATTGGCATATAAAGCTTTTTTCTTTGAAAAATGCTGATTTTTCAAGTAAACAATAAAAATGGAAATAAAAAACGTTTATAGGGGTTTAGATCTCGTTTTGCTGACTCCAGACATGTTAATAACTCAATTTCGCTAAAATGTCGATTAGGTACGTTAGTTATGATAATGAAGTCAATGTAACAGTTTCACATTACACTATGGAGTGCCTCCATCTAAGCGACACGATTTGATTGTTGATAAAGTAGTACCTACTTAACAAATAACTACAACAGTCATCATTTATTATTTATTAAGTCCCTTCGTTTGGAATGTTGTTGGCAAACATCCTTTGACAATGTTTGCATGGCATAGCAATCAAAGGGTTTAAACTACAGTACCTACTGGTTTGTCGAAACAAGAAACTCAACTACCATAATACGTCGGTAAGTACAACCGTAAACCAGATTTCTTAAAAGTGGATTTTATTATAAACAAAAGATAACTTATAAGGATAATCTTTGAACATACAGAAATAGGTAAGTAGTAGTTTTAAAACTACTAAGTATTGCTATTTCAATTCTTATAGTATTTTTATAGAGTAATAAAATAAATAAACGTTATTAATAAGAACTTTGTTGACGAGCATTTTGTGTTTATTCACATGGAATTTATTGTTTTGTTAGGTGAGATGTGTCATAGTTTTGTTAAGAGGAAACATGGAGGAAACCATGGTTTGTTTGATAAGTATTCTCTACGTCACTCACGACATTGGTGACGAAGCGACGTGTTGAGATTTACAATCAATTATTGTGTAATTGGTATCATTGAACTGTTTACTGCAACTGTACGTTGTGCATTAACTTAAAGTCTAACTGTGAGGTTACGATTTGGTTTGTGGGTTTTATATCCCTTAGAGACAGAACTCACGAAGCTGTTTTGACCCGCCGCGCGCGCCCGCTGCGGTAGCGGGACAGCTGTTTTATTTCAAGCAGGTTTGTGCGGTCCCGTAGCCGCCGCGGTTGCGGAATGGCCCGCAAACTTGGCGGAAGAGGATCGCAAGGCGCGCGGTTATTTACGATTGATTGAGATCATCAGTTAAGTCTTAGACGTCGCCATGGACTCACATCAAAAACGAGCTATCGCGTTATACTTACTTCATCGAAGAATTAAAAGAAGAAGACCTAAAAGATTCATCCTCTGATTCCGGAAAGAAATCGTTACGGATTATTCGTTGTTCTTATTAATGAATTAAAAAAACAAGAAGACAAATTCTTTAATTTTATACGGATGTCCGATACCTAGATATGAAGATGTAGATGTAGATACCTCCTACTTATTCAGAACTTTTAAGAAAAATGGTAACTGGTAGGAAATTAATTGATCGACTTCAACATCATCAACATCGGGCCTTCAGTGCTCAAGGTCAACTTGCGCCGCGAACAGCTCAAGAATTTTAGCTAAAAATGACGAAATGTGCGGTAAATGAATGTAAAAATACGTCAGACAAACATAAAATAGATACTAACATCACATTCCACAAGGAAGTAACGCGTTTCAACTTGTATTTTTATATAAATATTCACTAAGACCAAAAATTAACCTACTACTAAAACTAGCCTACATGAATTTGATTTTTGCCTCACTTGTGACAGTTCGTTTGATCATATCAAACGAACTATCATTCTATGCGTTATTATTCTAAGTATGTACCTAAATAAAAGGTATATAGAATATTAGTATCAGAACGAATGTTTACTACCGCTTCAATACAATTTGTTACCCACTTACAAAGTTGTTATAAATCAGACTACACGCGAGAATCAAAGGGCATTTGTTACGTGGTAATTGTAAATACAATGCAATTGTGCATGCTGTGAGCTCTCTAATCGTATTTTATGCAATTGTTGCTTAATGAGGGTTCTGAAAGCTGGAGTACGTGTTTACTCGGCAAAGCCTCGTGGCCTAAATGAAAAATAAAATGATTGCATACAATACTTTTTATACGAGTAAAAAAATAATAAAACAAAACCAATATTTAATGTATATTTTATTAACAACCCATGACAACAAACGCAATTTTTTGAATAAATTTTAATCCATGTATTAGGGTAGACAGAGGTTTCACCATACAGCCTCTTCATATATTAAATTCAAACGACAGCCAAACAAACGTGACAAAACAAAGAGATAGAATAGAACTGGCCAAGTATGTTTTAACCAATCTTTTTTTTTATAATTTATGGCCTGGTGCAAGACTGTTAGGTTAATTTAACCAATTAGGAGGCAGTATACGTTTGAATAGCGTCGTAATTGGCATTTTATCTACACACATATCATAAACCCTCTATGTTGTGTTCAAAAACCGCAAATTACGACCAGCATAGAGATAAACTGTTTTGTTAGAACAAATTTCTTATCTGTGAAAATATTATTATTGCTTCATAATAACATCGAATTCGATTTTATTATGACATTCAAATTTCGAACATCTCTGAAAAACAAAGTCGTGATGAAGGTTTATTGCAAGACAGTTTTATTGAATAAAAAAAAACGCTGTGTATATGGTACATACCTTGCGCAAATGAAGTCGCGTGTAACAGTCAATTAATAATACAATTACATTGTACCCACATAATAGGTACAAATAGACATTACATTTTTATTAGAAGAGAATTAAAAACTTGTAATCAAAAAGACAATATTATCTCAAACCAATAATTAATTCTTACAGCTGAATACATTCAACGATGCGATTTGGAAGACAAGAATTTCGTGGAATGTGTGAAAGAAAAAATATCAACTACACTGCCTTACTTCACGAAAGGCATTAAGGAGCTTGATGTGCCGCCTTTGGACCCTGTAAAGTTGGACGATATCGACATCAATGGAAACGGACTGAACCTCTCATTTACGGATGCCAATATGTACGGAATCAGCAACGCTGTCATCACGAATCTCAAGTAAGTACCTGAACTATTTAATTGGTTAACCCTTAAATAAAAGCGATCCACCATACCCTATCTATAAAATATTGCAGTGATTCCCTGTGTGGTTATTAGGTTCATAGATGCCATTTTTTTTCTAACATTGTGAACATCAGTTTTTTTTTGTGGTAAATATTTTAGTATTATCCGTTTAGAATTTGACAATGTGGTACACTATTTAAACGATTACTTATAAAAATAAGGTGGTAAATAATTTACCTTTATTTTATTGGTTAAGTAATCTCGTAGCAAAGTTATCAGTAGATACAGTCATAACATAATTGACAAGATGCTATATAAATAATAATAAATATTAGACAATAGCACATACTTTGCTCTGATCACAACGTAAGTAAATAGAGCACTTGTGTGATGGAAATCGGAAACAACGACGGTACCATAAACATCCAGACCCGAGACAATATATTGCCTTCGGAAGAAAGAAAAGCACAAGCAGCAAATTCTAAATTCGTAGATAAATATGTTTAAACGTTTTCAAAGTTTTTCTGATATTTTATAGTTAAAATATTCATTTGATTTAAATAGTTTATTTATGTTACAAATACGCACAGTCAAGAGCACATCAAGCTTGACACTTTGTACTATGGATCGTTCTTATCATAGGCGGTATAGAGTTGGATTTAAGTCTTAAGTGTCTTGACACTGTACCTCATAAATGTGATGCAATAAAATTTATGTATTTTTTAAAACTCAATTATGTTTATAATTGTTTGTTTATTGTTTCGTTGATCGCATTCAAAGTTACATACTATCGCCTTCCTTAGCTGTCAAATATGGCCTCTTATTTGGTGACTACTATACTTGCACGCAAGAAGCTTAGCAAGTTACTTGCACGAATGGACCACGAAAATTGTGACATGCGGTACCGGTTGACTTTTTAACCAATATTGCCAGTTTATCACAGCCAAAATAAAACACAAAAAATTATTATTTTTTATTACTTACTACAAGTTATACATAAGTCTATTATTGACTTGCGTATGTGGCATATGATAATAAAAATAAAAGGATAATAAAATAATCAATAGCCCCCTTTACATACTTACTCTTATGGCGCGTGATCACAAGCGTACAGGATTGCGCGCGGGATACACTGCACGCGCAATTACCTGTTTGTTTTTAACCGGTTTAAAAAAAGAGGAGGTTCTCAATTCGACTGTGTTTTTTTGCTTTTATTTTGTATGTATGTTACACGATAACTCCAGCATTTGTGAACCGCTTTTGACGATTTATTTTTTTTGTCGGGAAGACGGTACCTCAGCAGTGGTCCCATTTAAATTTGTAAATATCCACTTCTAAGGGTGGCGAATTATGGGATGAATCCGGTTTCGTGCACTTTCCGGTAACCGATTTCAGTAAAACTTGGCAAATAGATGTAATTCCACGAACTTTTGAGGTCGGTTTTTTTAGTATTCTGTACCTATTGAGATTATTTAAGTTAACGTTCTTTCGCGCGCGATTGCTCGTGTTCATTTTTATTACAACGGAAGAGCGTCCGTGTAAAAGGTAACCTTGGAACGCACGATTACACGCGCGACTGATGAGTGCAATCTTGTAGTCTTTCCATTTTCCTTCCAACATCTTTACACGCGCACTCAATCGCGCACGATTGCTGCATCACGCGCGAAAGAGTGTCTGTGTAAAGCCCTCTAATGTGAAAAAACCTAACAATCAAAGATTAAAAAGCAGGGTAAGCACAACTAATCTAATTAATATTATTTAATGGCCAGCATTGTAGCAACGAAATCTTATACGTAAATGTCAATAGTATCTGTGCTGTGGCACAGAGACTATTGACAGTACGTATAAGAGAAGGTAGAGAAATTTTATCGCACATGTTTGAATCCTTCAATTCGCCCTTAAGACGATCTTCACCATCACTTTTCCCTAAAACTTTCCATATGTTTTCCGACGTATGCTGCGAACTTGACGTATGAGCGGTTTATGATAAGCGGCAACTTTGTCAAACAATGGGTATAAAACGCTTATTACACTACCCGATTTCAAGAGACCCTAAGTTAAGGACGGGTAATAGTCAAAGTCAAATAACCATTTATTCCATAGGTAACATTTTTACACTTGAAAACGTCAACGACTTTTTAGCTACTGCTCGATAACTGTGCCGACGTCCCTGAGGAGAACGAGCAAGAAACTCTAGGGATTGCTCTTTTCAAATAAACTTAAATACTTTAGATTACGTTGTATATACTCCGGAATCTTATTGTAAAAACGTATACCCATAAAAGAATCGTTTATCTTAGTTAAACGAAATCGTGGTACCATGAGTTTGGACCACGTTTGTACTTAGTTCTAAGGTTAATATTATTATCTTCTTTCTTAACGAAATTATGTATATTTTACGGGCATACAAAATATTTGAGTAAATGTACATTTATTTGAGTAAATGGTACTGTGATGACACAGTCATGATAACAACTCTTTCAACTTTTCTCTGAGAGAAACCCGAGAACCTAAACGGTACACAGAACGAATCGCTCGTATTTGCAACACAAATATGGTTTGTATATCTGCCGCTTTACCCTACATGAGAATCCCGTAGGACATTATACTATGGAAGTAACTAAACTAGTTTAGCAGTAGGAACATCGGTAAGCTCTGCGGACTGCGTATGCAGCAGAGCTTAATTTGCTGGCTAAGGAAAATATAAAAGTGGAAATCATTGAAGTTTACTATCTAAGGTCACTCCCAAAAAGACAGCTTTATTAACTTTTCTCCATTTATTTTTATAGCCCAATGTTAGTCCATTTTACATTAGGTAATTCTAATTTAACACACTTTGTCTTCTTGGCATTGAGCAATAAATTGTTAACATTAAACCAATAAATATTGAAAGGGTATCGTTAATATTATCATACTTAACGTCATGTCTGTCTGTTTCATAAATCAAGGATGTGTCATCATGTGAATCAGCAAACAATAGGTACTATTTCGCTAAGGTTCTTAACAAAGAATGGTAGATCATTAATATTAATGATAAATAAGAAAGGTCCAAGTATTGAGCGCTACGGAACACCCATTTTTACCGGAGAACCCAAAGAAATGACTCCATTTGTCTACTTTCTGAATTCTACCGTTATAATTTGATGAGAAAAGTTTCAACGCCTTACCACTTACTCCGTAATATTCCAGCTTCCTAACAAGGTAATATGGTCCACGCAATCAAATGCCTTTGAGAGATCACAGAAAACCCCAATAGCGTTCTGCGACCTTTCCGAAACATCAAATCCCGCATCGCTAGTCGATCTACCACTAGTAAACCCATATTCTTCTCTACGAAAAATGTGATTCCTACCGAAATACGACAGTATTTGAGTCAACATTCTATCTTTTTGGATTTTTGATTTGTAGCGTTTGTTTGGCTTTTATTTAAATATATGAAGAGGTAGGTATGGTGGAACTTTTGCCTACCCTAATAAATGGGTTAAATAATAAAATTTATTTAAAAAAAAATGCGTTTGTTGTCTTGTCTTAATTGAATTGTTAACAAAATATACATTAAATATTGGTAATGTTTCATTATTTTATTTACTCGTAGAAAAAGTATTGTATGCAATAATTACGTACATAATTAGAATCTCGTACCTATTACCTAAGCCACTCGGCAAAGCCTCGTAGCCTAAACAGGATACTCGACTTTAAGAACCCTGATTATGCAACGATTGCATAAAATACTATTAGTTTATTAATAGTATAGTCGCAATTTAAAAGCTTTACAGAGAAAATTGTACTGCTAGCTGATTAAGCGTATATAATTAAACAGCGATAAAAAGGGAAGTATTTTCAGAAAGTCATGAAGAATTATGTTGCTTGCCTACAATTTTTTGTTGAATATGACAAAAACAAGTAAATCATATATGTACAATATGTGTATTATAAACTGCAATTGACAAGTGTAATCTTTCAAAATTATCAAAGAAAATTATACATAGCCGATACGTAACGTTTGTAATTAATGTCTCTGAGAGTAGGTAAGTACCTACCATTTATTAGGTACTTGTTACTGCTATGACAAATCAGCGTGTGGCTAAGCAATAATTAATTTAACTAAATAAAAACAATGTGTATTATTTTATAATAGTGAAGTTTCCATATGATATCAAACGATGTTTTTATGATCAAATACAAAGTAAAATGATTATAAAGGTATACTTCTAGTAAGTAATTTTATTGTACACAATAATAATAATTATTATTACTATTATCGAACAAATAAATTATTATTTACTTGTTTTGTTTGATACGGTTATATACTCTAAGGATATGGTAGTCTGACTTATTATTTGGCTATAATCATTTATAATAAGCACGATTAAAAAGTTTATAATACTTACTTTTTTATTGAATTGATATTCAATTATTTTTTTGTGAAATTACTCCACTAGTTTGTTATAATTATTAATTTAAAGATCGATTTACGACATGAAAACAAAAAAACCCGCTCCGCACCCGTAGCGACGGATATTTTTTGCTATCTCACTCCTAAGTGTATAAAACATTTCCTCTACTAATTTTTGATAATTTATAGCAACCTCCGTCCCGTCATAAATCATAATTGTGCAATTTTAGTCCCATACAGTCAATTTAAAGATCTTACTACTTAAATCGCATGTGCATTCGTTGTACATTGACTTTGACATTTTAAAAATGTCCTCTATGCCACTGAGTATGAACGTTTGATCAAATTTAATTAAATATTTATGATGTTATCAATAATGATGGTCTATCTTTCTATAATAATAATAATAACGCACACACTTTCAAAGACGAAGTAGCGAGCCCAAACACTAGGTAGCTGCTGTTCACTGTTGAGGAGGTCCTCTCATCTGTCTGCAAATCCCATAATCAGATCAGCTCTTAAGTCACCATAACATTTTATTTTCATTGCCTATGTGCCATGTTTTATTAAAATCGGTTAAATGAAAGTGGGTGAATTTTAATAATACGGATTCATCCCGTAATTTGCCACCCTTATAGGTAGAATATTGTATAACAAGGAGAGTGTGCGATGGAATTGCATAATTTAAATCCGCCTACCCCTTTCCATCACTATCGGGGAACTAGACGTGGGCTGGGATTCCACCCCTGTGTTGTGGATATTTCTAGGTTTCTCACGAAGCGTTTCGCTTCCACATTTATATGGCGAGCGGCTAGAGAGTGGAATTCCCTGCCTGCGGACATAAGGTAGGCGTCCACAGATCCGCAGCGCACGCATCGGTCGAGTCGCATTATACGAATTTTAGTATTCTTTGTATAAAAGTTCATAAAACTGCGACCACCGATCCGCATCGCACGGACCACACGCACCGGCCTATCGGTAATGCCGACGCAGTTGCTCGGAGGGGCAACTTTTCCGATGCATGCCGACGCCGTCATACGAATTGCATATCAGTGGACGCAAACACGCGCGTGCGCCGCCGCGTTGCCATCTCTTCTTAAATATGTCATGTATCCAGATATCATGTTTCCTTTTTTTCTCTTCTGTCTTCTTCTCCGGCAATAAACACACCACCACGACAAATTGTTCTTCATCAGTTTCCAAATCCGTTGTGTGCGAAAGCACACACAAGTTACATTCGTCCGCTCGCTACGAAAAGTGGCGTCGGCAATCCAATAGCTAGAAGTGACGTCGGCAATCCGATTGCTGTGGATACCTTGGACGCACTGCCACAAACGGAGCCGTTTGATGCGATCCGTCCTATGCGTGCGCAACGGATCTGTGGACGCCTGTCCTTCCCCGAACGCTATAACTTGGACTTTTTCAAGGCGAGAGTGAATAGGCATTATTTAGGTGTGCATGCTACATTATTGACCGCATCATCACTTTCCATCAGGTGAGATGGAGGTCAAATGCGCACTTATTTTTCATTAAAAAAATTGTCTTTAAATTAAAAATGGACCACTAGGTACTGTGGTATAGTTGAAGGAATATTATTTGTACCGATGAATATTATTTCTTGGAACGGCTTTTGTAATCAGAATTATTCTATTTAGAGTCGATTAATTTAATGGAATACGCGTATTCCGTTCAATCAATCGATTCAGAGCGGAAGGAGGTTTCCCATCACTAAATACTTCTTGTGACGTCACAGTGGGTACAAATATTGTGGCACGCTTGGTTTTCATATAAATTGCGGTATCTATCTAGATATATGTTTGTGGTTACTTCAAAGGCGTGGCGCGAAATCGCGCGCGGCCTATGCTCTCGACACAAACACGAAACGCGCCGCGTGTAGCGCCGCTACGCGTTGGCCCGACTCCGTTGGCTGCCTGAACTCGCCCGTTTCGCGTCGCGAGCTCCCTCGTACAAATCGGTGCGTTTGTCACGGACTGTGGGAACCTTTAAACAAGTCGTTAAAATCTCTAAAACATGGTCTCCTAAATTTTTTACACCCTTCTACAAAACACCGATTATATTGAACATGTAAGGATATAGTGTTAATTGATCAGTTATGTCGGTTACCACGTTCGCGCATTCTGTTAACGACATATGAGAGACATACGATATTACATTACGACATACGACGAATCACTACGTAACCTAACCTAACAATTTAAGGGCCGTGTTCCAGAACCCTACTCAATACTCAAGTCAGGACTTGAGCATTGCAGTGAGCACTGAAAATCATACTCAAGTCCTTGCCATTAGGGTCGTATTTCCTGTGCTTGAAATCATACTCAAGTCTGCTCAAATCCTGACTTGAGCATTGAGTAGAGTTCTGGAATACGACCCTAAAAGTTATAATGCAATATTGAATTTCACGTCTATTAAATAAAGTGCATAAAATATATCTATTCTTTGACTGCAAAATAACGAAAAAGTAAAGGTGTAGAAGACAAATATAAATTCACTTTATTGATTAAAAAACCAATTTATATATTGCATTGCTACATTTATAAGTTGCGGCTTTCAAAGAAATTTAATTTACACATGCCCGTGGCGACGTAAAATGCATTTTGCATTCAAAGGAATGTATCCTTTATTGTGTAGAAGAAATTATTTTAGAAAATATAATATAATATAGATATTACATTGCAGTTTGTAAAGAAAACGAAGCGCAACGCGGCGCCGTTTGCTGCATCTTCTTTTTATTTTTTTTGTATAAAGAAATGTAGCTTTACCTTGCAGAAGATTAAACTTTTTTATGCACTATTCCTCGTTTTAATGCATCGCAGCGGGGCGTGTCGTCGTGCCGCTGGCTGCTATATTTTGAGGCGACCGTAACTATTGAATCGTCAACTCCGCAAAAACCGAATAGTTCCGAACCTCGGACTTTGTAAAGTGGTACCGTACTATATTTTATTTCTTATTTTCATGTGACAAATTGAGTTTTTGGTGTATAAGCACGCATACACCAACAGACTTGTCCTTACGGGCACTACCTGTATCAAATAATAGTGTTTGTTATGAATGTATAATACAGCTGATTAAGATACATTCATAACAAAATCCAAAAGAAAATATTTAATTTAGAGTTTTAGTTGGAATGAGAAAAATGTATAAATAGCTTTAAAAGTGAAGAAAAACATTGTAAAAAAAACCCCTGAGATTGCTAAAGGTACACCTAAAACCAGGTAAGTATATTTTGCTCTTACCGAAGGTTCATTAAACTTAAAAACAAGTTTACGAGAAAAATATCTCACTTATAAAGGCCACTTCGAGCATGTGTTCGCGTTTTTATTTTTTACTGGATTATAATAATGTTATATACAACTGCAGGTTCAATAATAAAAACTTGATATTGTATGCTAATGAAGGGTTTATAGGGATAAAAGGAGTAGGTACGTATACTTGGTCCCTACTCCCTAGTCACATTCAGTTATTAATTATGCTTTGAATTGTTATGCTACAGGAAATACCTATTGCGACAGCGCGCAATCAACTAATACAAATAAAAATGGAAGTAAGTTATCTTATTTGGCTGAAGAACTTCTTCGGCTAGCGTCGACATTTTCAACGTTTGATGATGCCTCGGAGGAGCCGAAACAAACGTGTTTAGTGTATTTTTGGTAGTAATTTTATAATTTATAATTAATTAAATTCTTTATTCAGGCATTATAAAAAAAAACACATTTTCAGTACCCATTAACAAAAATATTAATAATAATATAGAATAAATTATAGGATGCAAAAAATAAAATATGACCCAAAATAAAGCAATATCATAAATGGGTAATTGTCATTTACGATTCGCATCCCGGTGGACAGACATTAGAGCTGTCGAAGGATGTGTCACATACTACTCTCAGGATTGCATTGTCAGATGCAAGCACTCTTTTATAAAATGAGGCCACACTCGCTCGTAACATAGCGTAAAAGTCCGGTAGTGGTGTTGATGGAGGTTGTTGTGATTGTAGTTGCGTTTTCGTTTAATTTTCTGCGAAGGGTAAGAAAAAAAGCTGCGTGGAAAATATTCAACACAAGCGCAGCTATTTTACACGATTTATCTAACCTTCATTGAGTACGCGGAGTAGCAAGGCAACTTACTTCCATTTTTTAGCGAATACTAAAACGCACATGGAAGTCCTGTCAAAATTAATCATATGAGCCAGCAGAAGGCAGCTGCTGTACACTGTTGAGTTCCTGTCAATTCCCATCACACCAGCTCTAGGTCGCCATAACATTCTATTTTCATTGGAATTACATCTATGTGCCAAATTTTATTCAAATCGGTTAACAGAAAGTAGGTGAAATTTAATAAGTCGAATTCATCCCTCAATTTGCCACCCTAAAAGTGGAATATTTTCTTCAAATTCGACACCCCCTTTCCAATAAAAAAAAGAATCATCTAAATCGATTCACAAATGTCGGAGTAAGAGCGTAACATGTTACACAAAAAAATGCAAATTAATTGGGACTGGGACTTGGGACTCCTGTTTTGAAGTCCGGCAAAGTGACAATTAGACGCCTGTATCCACCTGACGGGCCGGAAGGAGGAAGTTACACTACTACGAGCGCCTTTGTCCAAGTAGGTACAATTAATGACTCTTTGTCCAAGTAGAGTTAATGACGGTAACAAAAAGATCAATGAGCTTCGTAAATTAATTGTAGTATAATTATAGAGGTCACATATTCATGAAGAATATGAAGAACCTAATTATTGCACTACATTCTGCAATTACGTCTGGTGCTTACTCGACCTAGGTACCTATCTCAATATAACTGAATCGAAGTTTGGAAGTTACGGAAGTTCTTGTGTACGCCATTAGAATAAATTATATATGATTGAACGTGTAATGAATTACTTCCTAAAAGTATTTAAAAAGTCATACATTGTGCTCTTAGCGTCTTGAATCTACCCACATATTAAGACTGACTAAACTGTAATGTTATTTATTCCTATGAACACAGTACTTCAGTCTCATAAACAGAACCCCTAGTTTCTTACTCACACCTCTCAGGGGAATCTGCTTTACGCAAGAATAGTGAAGTTTAATAAATTTGACGATTTCAAGTGTAATTTGCTCACATTTGAAATAAATATTGTATGAGTGTGAAATTAGAAACACGTTACAAATAAAAAAATAATATGAGTATTTCATGTAGATTGTATAAGCAAATATAACTGTTTCAAAATAAAAGCTAACTTTATTAGTATTTTTAAGAGACGCAAATTTTATAATTCTTGTGTGTTAAAAAACCTTGGTTACCTATATGTTCGTAGTTTTAAACTTTTTGTAGTTATGAAGATAAATGAAACCATTTTCTCAGATTGGACATCGGGAAAGATGACGAAACGTTTTCGCTACAATTCAAGTCTAACATGACTCTCATGGCCAAGTACGTTATCAACGGCAGGATTCTCATCCTGCCCATCCAGGGGAAAGGAGATGCTAAGGTCAAAGCCAGTGAGTATATTTACTATTAATTTGTCTAACGTTTACGTGTGTGGAAATTATATTAATAGAGATCGTTGTAGTAGACATAGAAATGAGACTCCAGTGACTGTCATAAGCATGTTATATTATAGTATCTTTTCACTATAAATCCAAACAAAACAAAATCAAATCCTTTCTCCTCAAAGTTGTTTTTAGCAATCGCGGCCGTTTTTGTTTAAATTTCTTATTTCTATAAGACATAACAAGTAATAAAAGACTAATGTCACGATTTGCTAACAATATGATTACTTTATCTTCCACGAACAAGAAAGAAAAAGCTGGATGTTTTCCACACTTTCCGTGAAGAATCAGTCAAGAGTCATCTGAGGTACTAAAACTAAAAAAACTGTTTTTAACTCTATCCATCGAATATAGTTACGTTAATCGAAATTACACGGCCGTTCATGAACAACTTACCTATAAACAGCGAGTACTACATGTATATCTATACAGATACAAATAATATGTCAGTAGGCGATTATACTGGGCATCATAATTTCAGATCATCATCATAATTTAAGAGATTAAAAAAATAGATATTTACATTGATTTAAACTTTCACGATTTTTGCACATTATTTGATTTTTAATTCGGGAATTAATTACTTAAAAACGTGTGGACGTTGCAATATGTCCGAAACTTCGAGGTAAATAAAATATGTTTTATACGTGATTAAGTCCCGAATTAAATAAAATAGATATTTCTTTGCATAATAAGTAAAATAACATTAATAACGCCCTAAAAATTAACCGAGGTAAAATATGTATGTTGAAATAAATAATCACACTAGCTTAGGTATCTTGTCTTAGCTGTCTTTCACAAACCACTAATACAAGACTGTCTTTGTCAATTAACAGATAATGTGGAAGTGCAGATCGACAGTAAACTGAGCCATGTAAAAGACAAGGCGGGAACTCACTTCAGACTGGTCACGCCGATTTACAAATATAATATCGAGAAGACTACATTCCAGTTCGATAACTTATTCAACGGAAACAAACGGTTGTGTAAGTACTAATTATCCTTGTTATAGTCGTCACCAAATAAGAGGCCACTTTTGACAGCTAAAGAAGGCGAAGACAGTATGTAACTTTGAATGCGATCAACGAAAAATATTGAGTTTAAAAAAATACATACATTTTAATACAACATTATATGTATAATATGATGACAAAACATATTTGAAGTACCTACTGTTTTCGCACGAATTACAATATAAAATGCAATTTTGAGTTACTCCGAAACGTCCTAAAAACAGTTACGTCCTAGAGCTATTTTTTTTAATAATAGCGTTGTAAGCAATTAATTAATCGCCTAATTTCGCAGTCACTTTGATTTCTCGCAAAAAATATTGCTTATTAATGTTAAAACAAAAATGTATAAAAATAGGTGTATTTTAAGTAATTATGTATATAACATCTCTGACCACACATATTGCAAATAAATTTATAATTTATCAAATTTATAAGTGCCCCGTACTCCAGCCAGATTTGTATTTCCTTTTCTTTTTTACAAATTTTGAATTGTCAATAATGATCACCAATCCAGCGGCACCCGGAGTCTTTCGCCATCTTGGAAGTTGAATGTGTGCTTGGTTATTTTTTATGTATTTTTCTTGTGACTCGGCTTTGTTTTTGGACTGTTCCTGTTTTCTAAATTATGAACATTATTTGAGATTGTTTGTTGTTGACATCGACAACTTTTAACTAATTGCCAGCCGAATAATTGAAAATTCATGAAATCCTTGGTTTCCTGGTAATTTAATATTTTTATGTACTTGTTTTATCGATGAACATACTTCTAAATTGTCGTAATAAACCATTTATGAATATTATAAAATCAAAATTAAAAGAATTGAATACAATTCATCGGAATGTGGGACAATTTTTCGAAAATGAGAGAATTGCAAGGAATTCTGTAAATGAATTGCTTTTAACAGTATTGCACGATTTGGTATCTTTTAGGCCTCTTGAACAACAATGGACCGAAAAATAATCTAAACAATTACAAACTCTAAAAATTTTGAATAAAATTTTAATTTGGAAATTTTAACAAAATTTCCAAGGCTCATATTATGTTCTACGTCTAGAAATATCTTTTGAAGTTTTATTTAGCGTCAATTATAAAGTAAACTTGTATAGCTAACAGTCAATTGGAGAAAAACGAGATTTAAAATGACTTCAGAACAGCGAAATAACCTCCAACAACCACATCACCACTGTTGTTGGTTCCATCGTTTCCGTTCAGTAATTTATAAACTACAATTTATAAACTAAACTTTTGACAGTTGTCAACGTCAAATATGGAAAATGAAAGAAAAATACTCGGAAAAATATTAAATTTTCGGAAAAATATGATTATTTCAAACGGAACGGAAATTTTTCCATGACCCAACAATAGATGTGTGTACTAAGGTCTCACGTTAAAATTATAACTTCTGTTTGGTTTCATGTACAGGGGGGGGGGGGGGGGGGCACAATTAGCTTATGAGGAACCAGCCAAGTTCCATGCAGTTCGAATGACGTGGTAAAACATAATTGTTTAAATTCGTATCATGATTTACATAAAGTTGAACGGGAATTGCATGGTAACATGATGAGTTTTGCTTTTTAAATATGAATTATTGTCTCTGGCTTGCTAGCTGTCATTCATGCCAATAGTTTATCAACAATACTTTAAAGATTGGAATCTCGAACTATTATATATAGGTTATTGGAAAAAAGTTCAATAGTTAACAGTATTTATTTATTTACAATCGCCTATATAGCCAACAAATAATTATGAAACTGAAAATATAATAAAACTTACACGAAATTTCTTAAAAATGTAACAAAATCTCGACATTTCAAAAAAAAACGTATTAACAGATCTTAGACTATTTTTTCCATCCTCTACGTAACAGAGTAACTCTCTTTGAATTGCTTATTTTGACTGATGAAATCGCCATTTGCATGGCAAATGGCACGGTATGATACGATTTTACTATGAAAGAAAAGGTGAACGGATTTTGAATAGGGAACTAACTGAATTGTTTTTGTGAGGTGATAGTACGAATTTGACAGGCAATGCAACTGACGGGCATAACAGGATTGCTATAAGAAGTGGTAGTAGGCCCCCTGAACCTAAAATAGTTTTTATAAGTTTTATACTTAAGATATACAGGGTGTAATCGTTAAGTGTGCTCAGGCGATTATTCCAAAAAAATATGAGAGATATCAAAAAGCTTTAAACTGATATCGAAAGTACTTTATCTAATGAGTAAATCGATATCAATAACTTTTTAAAAATAGAACTATAAATATCCAAAATTTTAACATTAAATGCTCCCATACATTTAATATGACATTCATAGAGTGGCTTTAGTTTTGCTACTGTAAGAGCCCAAGGAGCACACTTTAAACGCTTATGATTATCCTTTTTCATCCTCAGGGATTGATTTCGAAAAATCCGTTCTTATTACGCCTACACTAAACAAAAGTATAACATATCCTAATGTTTTCATGTTTCTAGAACTTGTACTTTTTAGTGTGCGCCAATTTACCAGTGAGTTGCTCCGGACCCTACTCCTTTAATTATATAGTATGTATCACGACAGGTTAGATTAGTAGATGAGATTATAGGCAATAAAAGTGCATCACGTAAAAATACGTAAATTAAATTCTACCCAAGTAAGTTCAAATCTTCCAGTTCATTAGTTTGCTGATAATCAATTAGCGTGTGAGATGTGAAAGCAAAGAAAGGATCGGTATTAGACCGCTTGCTAAAGCCTCCGCGCCGTTGTAATCAAGAACATTATAGTGGTATAGGTAACAATAAGTTAACAGATAACATAACTGATACAAATATAGGAATAAAATTACCTTTTAATTGAATGAAAATATAATGGCATAATCAATTATTTGGTTGCGGTTTATAATATTAACATAAAAACAGTAGTTAGTGCAATTATTCGTTAAGTAGTAGACGAGTTCATTTTATTCCCTAAAAAAAGATGTACCAAAGCTTAGAATACCATAATTATATTTTTTCTTTCTTTTTCTGTTATGTTACTAGTAGAATACATCAAGCACCCAAATTATATTTGTCAATCTTTTTTCTTTTACAACAAAATTGGTAAAAAACAGGTTATTCAACTTTATCGTATTATTTTCTTTCCAGCGGACACGACACACGAATTTGCTAATCAAAACTGGCGGCAGCTGATGGACGATCTCTCTCCGCCATACATCAAACAAATTGTCAAGACCTGCGTGAAAGCCATCAACAAATTCTTCGCCAAGTTTACCATTCAAGAAATGGTGAAGAACTACAAGGAAAACTAAAATGTGATAATTAAAAAAAGGAAGGGAATTAGGAATCAATCTCTAGAAAATTAATTAATAAAGTAAGACTCGAGACTCGAAGATATTTCACTTCTCCAGACTCATATGTACTTGACGCCTAGTAATAAGAAAAAGATATGATTTGATTTGTGTGCAGATTGCTCTGCATTAGATATGAGCGCCGATAATAGACCAATCAGCGGCGCCGCGCCGACGAAAATCTGTCGGCGGTGGTGGGGGCGTTTCGGCGGCGCGAGTGCGACCATGAAACGAATTTGTATAAACAAACACCGTGTATAACGGTGTTTGTATTTACAAAAACCGTAATACAAATATTTTGTCAAAGGAAAAATAAAATATCGTATTTTCCATTGTAATCAAATTTTTATCAGTTCGATTAGGTGCTCCGATCGTACGCGCACGCATCCGTATTGTGTATACCTTAGACAAATTAATGTTTGAAACAAAACATCTTCGAATATAAAAAAGGTTAGTTAAAAGGTTAGTTGGAAGAAATCTCTTTATGGGATAAGCTCGCCTTTGTACACTAATATTTAAATTGTTTCTGAAAATTTGTAAGTTACTTTGTGGTACAATAAAGTGTTTAAATAAATAAATAAATAAAATTACTAGGTTTTATCTTAGAAGTGTCCATTTCTGGCGTCGCCATTTTCCCTACGCATACACAATAGGAAAGCGTGCTCTTGCGTACGATTGGAGCACCTGATCGAACTGGGGCCTTACCATGAACTCTTATTACGATTCAGCTTAGGACCTAAAATGAATCGTAGTGAGACAGCGCTACATGAAGTGTAAATCAAGTCGTTATGAACCTATACTGAACTGTAATAAGAGTTCATGGTAAGACCCCTGAACTGAATGGCGCGCGCCGAAATCAATTGTCGGCGGCGGCAGCACGGGTCTCATTTCTACTCTGCATACGGAGACGGGAAAGTACAGGGAAATAATGAAAACAAAATACGGTGTTCTTGTTCTTTCACATAAATCTTACATTACAAAATGATCGTGTAGAGAAGCAACCGGGTCTTGGGTAAGTATTCAGTGTTGGGCGTTAATCAATTCAATTGAAATCAATTGCAATTAAATCAATTGCGACGCGTCGCAATTGATTTAATAGCGATTGATTTTAATTGCAATTGATTTTAATTGCAATTGATTTCAATTGAATTGATTTTAATTGCAATTAAATTTGCAATTAAAATAAATTCCGGCCGGTTGGGGCCCCGGTTTTGGGGCCCCGGTTTGGGGTCCCGGTTGGGGGCCCGTTTGAGGGTCCGGTTTGGGGGCCCGTTTGGGGGGTCCGGTTGGGTGGCTCGCTTGGTGGGGGGGGATGGCCGGTTCGGAGCCATCAGGCCCCTTAACTGGCCCCTAACCAGGCCCCCCAACCGTGGCCCCAACCGGGCCCTCCAACCGGGGCCTTCAACCGGGCCCCCCAACCGGGGCTCCCAACCGGGCCCCCAACCGGAGCCCCCAACCGGGGCCTTCAACCGGGGCCCCCAACCGGGCCCCCAACCGGGGGCCCCAACCGGGGGCCCCAACCGGGGGCCCCAACCGGGGTCCCCAACCGGGGCCTTCAACCGGGGGCCCCCAACCGGGCCCCCAACCTGGGCCCCAACCGGGGCCCCCAAGCGGGGTTCCCAACCGGGGCCCCCAACCGGCCCCCTAACCTGCCCCCAACAGGCCCTCACAACCAACGCCCTAACTCACTCCCATATGCCCTATAAATTTGTCATAATTGTCAGTTTTAATTGTTAATTGTTAATCAAAAATCTTAACAATTAATTAACAATTAACAATTAATCAATTGTTAATTGCGGTTCTCGCAACTAACAATTAATCAATCGTTAATTGCTGTTTCGCAATTGACAATTAATCAATTGTCAATCTTTAATTGCCAGAACAATTAAATTTTGCCCAACACTGGGTAAGATAACAACTATTAATAATTGAATTATTGTTTCGCGCTCTGTCTCGTTGTAAGTGAAGTCATTCTACAAAGATGTAAAGTTATCTTCACAGCGATGTATTTTTTGGTATATCAGTACTAGTACCGAGTTGATGTAAATATAGCTGTACTAAAATACGGACAGTACCCTACACTATTGAACTGGATTTATGTTATAGATTACGTGATGAAAAGTTATCTTGAAATAAAACTTTGTTTTAAAATTGTTTGCCTTGTATTTTTAAAGTCACACTCGTAATGCAATTTGATAAACACTTAATATTCAATAATATTGTTAAATAGGATCGTAGCGAGTGAAAGGTCGTGGTCACTGCCTACCCCGAAGGGAAAAATATGTGAAGTGTATGTATGTAGGTATGTATGTATTGTTAAACAATACCAATTTTATATTGTGACTCTTTTGTTCAGAACATAACTATACATATATGTATACCATCACGCTTATCTCCCATAAGGGTAGGCAGAAATTATGGACCTCCACTCTTTGAAATTTTAACGTTGCGTGTGCATCATTGTTATTCTAAAATAATATTGTTATTATTATTAGGCGTAAAACGAACAGAATTCGAATTAACAGAATTTACAGGTATTTCATCACCTGGCGCATTCAAGTTATATGCGCTCACGGCAGACTCTTCGCTACTGCCACTCCCGTTGCTAGCTCGACTGTTGACATCCGCCATTGGTAATACGTCAATTTGAGAATGACGCCCCCATTGCGACGGCGGTCCGAATTTTTTATATACAAAGAATCCAGCAAGACCGACTACTAAAATAAAAATACCTACAGTCATCCCCACTATACTTCCTTGTGATAAAGGCTGGCCTGTCCGTGTTACTGAAAAATGTTAAATATTTTTGTTAGGTTTTTGGTCCACAAACTATAGAAGGATTAAAAAATGTTAGCAATTTGCGGTGAGACTTTCGACGCAAAGTCGAAGCAATCTATACAGAATAATATATCGTAACGAAAAACTTTATAAGCTGAATAAAAAAAATGTTAGCAAATTGCGGTCAGCCTTTCGACGCGAATTCCGAGGCTACCTATAAAAAAAAATATATATATATTTTTAAAATTTGATTAAAAGTGCTGGTAAATTGCGGTCAGACTTTCGATGCGAGGTCGGAACTAGCTATACAGCAGAGTATCGGAACGAAAAATTTTGTAAGTCGAATAAAACTGGATCTTGATTAATGAGTTGCCGAAAGAACTTCAAGAAAAATATAATAAACAATTAACAATAAAGCATAATTAACAATAAATAGTATTTTGACCACACGGACATTTTGAGCACATGAACATACATAAGGATTATGTTTTATTCTAACAGAAACATGTCACTTTTCCATTGATAACCTCACCAAATAAGAAGTATCGTCAACAAACGTCACGTTTGGTCAGCAGTTTAGTATAACTGCAATCTCACAGAAACAGGTTTCGCTCCTTACGTACTGAATATAACTAGTCTTGGTTTTTATATTATAGCACTCATGGACGTGTGGTACAGTCAGTATCAAATGCCTCTCAAGTCAATTTTCCATCCAAAATGTCATTTTAAAACGACGTAACTTTGAAGTATTCTATTTTTTAGATTGTTTCACTCTGCTGTAAATTTAAGATACGATCATCTCAGTGTTCAGCGATTTGAGTTGATTGTGTAAAACATAATCGGGATATTTGCGGTAATAACAAAAAGGTTTTAAATTAATTTGCCCCCTTAATCATTGACCACAATTAATATTATCAGGGAAGATAAAACAACGGTACCTAGGTGCGCTCACCGAAGACGGAGACGACGGCATTTCACGTGTGCCTTCGTCTCAATCACATATAACACCGATAACAGTGGTACATTTTTCTTATCGGTCCTGGCATTTGTCACCGTAGCCATAGTAAACCGTATAAGAGCATACTTACTTTCGTAACTAAGGTAGATGTCATCGCTGGCTTCCATTATAGTATCAATAATTAGAGCTGCGCAGGACCACGACCCTATGTCCTGCTGTCGAACACTTTTGATAGTCAGGGAACAATCTCCTTGACTCAGATCTTTTCCGGGTGTGAAGTAGTAGTTGCCATCAATTGCGCTAGGGGAAAATAAGTGATCGGTTCTTGTAATAAAACAGGGTAACAAAAAGCACCAAATAGCACACTAAGCTGCCGATTTGCCCAGTCCTGGGCGTGTCACGTTCATCTGCTGCCGACAGCTTTTCGCAGATCGTCAATCCATGTGACCAGATAGCGTCCTACGTTACATTTGCCGAGTCGTGGTCTCCATGCAAGAACTTGCTTCCACGTAGGTATATTGAAAATTTCTATTTCTATGTGTGTTTATATATGTATATTATTATTTTCAATTCCAGCTTGCTTAACTATGTCAACGACCTTGAATGTCGGAATAATTGGAAGTCGGATAACCTTTTTCGAATCTTATCCTTCAGAGAAACTCCGAGCACAGCTTGTGCCAAAGCTTACTGAGCTTTTAACTGGTGGATTAGCCGTATCGTGAGTGTCCACGCCTCGACTCCGTACGTCATACTGGGTAAAAAGCACTTATTGAAAACCTTTGTTTTCAAACTTTGTGGTATAAAATCACCAACAATAATATAAAATATGAAATTGAGATACTTACTTTTCTTCCGTAATCGTGGTGTGTATATGAATACCCGTAAACTGAGGCGACAAGAATCTACAATACTCCACTGGTTTATTACCGTTCGATGTGTGACAAAACAGGTGTACAGTGTCGCCAATTTTTGTTGTAATATTCTTTCTATTCGCAGCCAGGGCGCCAGTCACTTTCACGTTTATTTTGTCTGCAATTTCTACGCCATATGTGTTTCTAGCACCCATATGACATGTCCATTCCCCTGCGTCGTCGTTAGTCGCCCTTCTAAACGTGATACCACAATCACCTGATTGAAGACTCTCCCCTTCATACCTGATAAGCAATTGTGATGTTAATATTCACCTTCGCAACATTGTTTACGATATGAGAAGTTAACGCAATGTGTATTATACGTTTTGGAACTTTATTTCTATAATATTAATAGATGTAAGTTGCAATAAATTTATTAAATTTGAATTCTTATTAAACCTTTTACAAGATTTCCGCGGCAGTGTAAACTGAGACTAACGCGGGATCACCTAGGTCAGAAAAAGTTTATTTCCATGCAACACAAGCGAAAAAGATGTTCCGCTTCCACTTGAACCACAGATGAAAAACAGCTTTTTCTGTCTGGCTTAATGTTAAAATAATTTTTTTTCGTTTAAAGTAAATTTAAGGAACCTTTACAGGTTCTGCTATTAGACCCACCAGAAATCATGAGAATTAGTTTCATTTTGCCCAACTACAGGAGTGTACTGCGTTCCATTCGGATGCAGGAACCAGCAATATCGTAAATTAATAGTATCCTTGCGGCAATGTAAAGTGAACGGATGGTCCACACGTATGAAAATTGTTGATGTGTCTTCATGCTCGTATGCAATTCGTCCGACGTCTGTTTCTGAAAGAGCAGGGCTTTTGTACACTTACAAAATAATATCGCAATAAATAATATTTAATATTTATAATAAAAATCATGTACAAAAATCAGGCAGTACAAAAGAAAATATAATTCTTTCACGTAATTCTACTACATGAAAGAATTCTATAAATTCGACGTGATCACATAGATAGTATTATTATAATGAAAAAAACTTCACATTAGCCCGATAACGTGTAATAAATTTTAAAATATCCCACTACCACATACTATACGCAATAGTTTAGGCTTCAAGTACGTAGAATACAAGTTAACATAGACATTCAAACAATGTGAACAACATTGCTCTTGAGATCGCATTTTTCCGACTGAATCATGGCTACGATAAGTTTTATATATGATATATATATATATATGAAGAAGGAGTAAATAAAAAAGTAAACTAACCAGAATGAACAGAGCTAGTTGTGCTAATCAATGCTTGTATGGGTGGCTGTTCTTCCATATTTGCTGCAACCAGCTTGCGGGTACCTACAGAACACCGCCACGTCCCAAAGTCAACATTCGTTGGATTTTCGATTGTCATGCCACATTGTTTATTAAGAAAACCGGTGCCGTAGTAACTGAGAAGATAATGAGAGCTTTATTGCATGATTTTTTTAAGATATCATGTACAACAAGACAAACAAGTCGTACGCAAGGTGGTAAGCAACACACCTGCCTATGACAGTTGCAGTGTCTCCAAGATTCAATCGTAAAGATCTCAGAGTCATTGCCACTACACTCCGAGTACATAAAATTGATAAGTCCAATGTCTGTATTTCACTA